AGGAATGAATGAAGGAGGAGAAAGGCAGGTTGAGGGACACAAACCCAAACTTCTTTTCAGTGGGTAGAAGAAGAGAAGAAGAAGAAGAGATTGGATTTATACCCCACCCTCCACTTGGCGTCTCAGAGTGGCTTACAAACTCCTTTCCCTTCCCCACCTCACAACAGACACCCTGTGAGATGGTGGGGCTTTTCAAGAACACCTCTGACAGAACTATGGCTTGCCTAAGGTCATCCACCAGCAGCAAGTGGAGGAGTGGGGAATCAAAGCGGGTTCTCCCAGCGTAGAGTCCGCACACTTAATCACTACACCAAACTGGTAGACAAATACCTAGGCCAGTCTTCAGTATCAACAGACCAAGGACAGCCTCATGTCGTAATTCTTTTACATACTCAAAAGAGTTCCAAGCAGAAGAGTAGATAAATAAGCCATAGGTTTCTTTGTGTGTTTTTTTCTTGTTTAACCCCAATTTGTTTTTTATTTCATATCTAGACACATTTTCAGATGGAGGTGTCAATTTGTTCCTTTTAAACATCACAATGTATATCTCACCAAATCACTCCACAAAGTGTTCAGGAATTTAAAAATGTTACACATTTGCAAACTGTGACATCCACATTCCAGGAAAGATACCACCTAGCCAGTTAAAACAGGAACAGTTGACAAGTAAACTCTGGTGTTGGATACATAAAAGGAAAAACAGGTACTGTATCCATTACCAACAGAAAATATGTGCTTGTATAAACCAATGTGTTCACTCTTGTTTAGGTGAACTCTTTATGTGATCACATTGAATGTAAGGAGTTTCAATAGTTCATTACTACACACAATTAAGTGTGGGAAATTGCACACTTGTTCTTTCCATATATCTTTCAGGCAACTCTTTAAAGAATATAGAAGTGAAAAAAGAAACGTTTGCAGATAAGTGGTCCAAAAATCACCCAATTTGAATCATGGTCACAGGACTTTACTGGGGAAAAGAAAGTCAACGAACAGAGTGCCAGAAAACAGGAAAGAGAATAGGCAGTGCTGTTATCAGAACCTGCTGTGAGCTTTAACAAGACCTCACCCAAGAGGTATCACCTCAGCACAGAGAGCAGAAATCACCTGATCCTTCTAGAGCAGCAAGAAGTAGGAGTTTGCTGGAGGAGGGGGAGGAAGGGGAGGATTTTTGTGAGCAAAGCTAACACTCTAAAGAGCTTAAATGGCAGGATGGAGAGAAGCACGATTAGAGTGCAGTTCCTCTTGCTAGCATTTAGGGATTAAACTCCCTTGGTTATCCACCTTGGTGCATTCTCTTATTCTTCATAAGGAGCAGTGCAGCAAGAAAGAAAAGAGAAAGGAACGTATACGCTTTACTTTCCCCAACCAGCTCAAGCTGCTGTGGCCAGAGGCACAGTGGTACATGCTTGTTTCTAGTTAGCTTTTCTTCCACCATGCTCAGGAGGCATCAATTCCCTTGAGGTGATGACCTGGTCTTTATCACCTTGGTTGCATACCTGGGAAAAGCTAACCTTTTCACAATCTCTAGACCAGGATTATGAGTATATGAAGTCCTACATAATGCCTGCTCTCAAGTTCTTGTGTGCACATGCATCATGGCTTGTGTAACGTATCCAGTCCAGACCGCGTGGCCGGCTTGGGCTCCACGCGGTCAGGCACAAACGTTGAGCTTCGCTCCAAGAGACAATGGACTATGCGGATCCTAGCCCACTCTATGGGACTCTCGGCCACTGTAAATAACTTATTGGGAAGTGGGGGGTGTGTGTTTTGGGTGGCAGTTTCTTGGGGAATATAAGCCTGTCTGTGAGCCGGCCAAAGTCATCTTGTTCCTGATCGAATAAAGTACGCTTTACTGAAATCACTCTCCGTCTGCGTACTTTTCACTGGCGACGAAGGTGGGATCCATCTCCCTCTGAACAGAGACCACGCTCTGGACATCGGCATGAGCCGCCATGCCGAATTTGCCACCACCGGCAGCATCGAGCATCTTCGAGAAGTGCCGCTCACCGCACCGCTCCCGAGCTCTGAGCGTCGCGCCGCTGACCTTGAGAGCAGCACCGCACCACTCCGCATCTACGCAACGCTGAGCATCGTCCCGCTGACCCCGAGAGCAGCACCGCACCGCTCCGCCATCTATGCCGCTCGCTTCCATGTGGAACCCGTAAGATGGCTGCCACATCAGAGAGTCTCCCAGTCTTCAACATCTCCCAACCCTGGCAGGAAGCTCTCGAGAGCCACTTCATCATCCACAAAGTGGTGGAGCCAGATATAAAAAAGGCATACCAGCTGAACCACTGCGGGACTCCAGTTCGGAGTCTCGGTTGCGCCCAGGATTTTCCAATCTTTTATGGATTCTCTCCTAAAAGGCATCCACTCCTAAAAGGCATCCACATCTAGACAATGTGCTGATCGCGGCTCTGGATGACTCGTCCTTTGCTGACCGTCTGAGGGCCATACTACGTTTCGACGCAGCAGGGCTCAAAGTCAAGCGGGAAAAATGTCTCTTGGGGGTGCCTTGCATTGAGTTCCTGGGCTCTGTGGTTGATGCCTCAAGCATCCACCCCACCGCGGACAAGGTGACCTCCAGCGTCCAAGTCCGAACTGCAGGCTTTTGGGGGGCTCCTGAACTTATACCACTCCTTTTTGCCCCTCAAAGCTGCAGTCGCGGAACCACTCCATTGCCTCCTGGACAAGTTGGCACCTTGGGTCTAGGGTCCGCCACAAGCAGCGGCGTTCCAGGCACAGGCAGTTAAAGGCCTGCTCATCGCGAATGCGGTCCTTGCGCATTTCAATGAGGCGCTCCTGGTGGTGCTGGCATGTGATGCTTCCCCTTACGGGGTTGGAGCGGTCCTGGGCCACCAGCCTCCGGACGGCCGCGAGGTCCCGGTTGCGTACTATCCCAGGACTCTATCAGCGGCTGGGCGCGATATGCGCAGATAGATACGGAGGCGCTGGCGATTGTGGCGGGGGTGAAAAAATTCACCACTATCTGTACAGGTGCCCCTTCACGGTCCTCACAGACCACAAGCCACTGCTGGGCCTCCTGGGCCCCGACCGCCAGACCCCACTGATGATTTCAAACTGTGTCCAAAGGGGGCGCCGCCCCTTCAGAAGCTGCGGGGTTTCTGGTTAAGGGACTTCAATAAGAACCCCGTGGTGGTGCTGGGCTGGGGCAAGTTCCGGGTTCAGTTCCAAGACTTTAACGGCACCCTAGACCTGCTGGTGGTGGATAGGCCTCTCTCCAGCCAGCTAGGACTCTCTTGGTTCGAGGCCCTGGGACTCTCTCTAAATGGAATCCACCAGGTCGGGTCATGGGATTTTGGCGTGGTGTGCGCAGAATTTCCCCACGTTTTTGATGGCACCCTGGGATGCTTCTCTGGGACCCCCATCTCCCTGGATCTCGAGGGGGTGGTGAGGGGGTGGCCCACGGCCAAAGGAGACCCTGACATAATGTATTTTGCTTCTCAGAAGGACGAGCTCTCCGTCCACAGGGGCTGTGTCATGTGGGGACGTAGGGTGGTCATTCCAAACCCTTCTTTCCTTTCCCCTTTCTTTTACGTTGAAAGGGGCATTTCGAAACAGTCATTAAATTATTCAATGTTACGTTAATGAGTACTCATGGTAGAAGTCTTTATTGATCTTGAGGATAAGGTTCACTCTCTTTAAATTTGGCCAATCACGTCTTGTTGCTCAATGACTGCCAAAGAGCGATCTCTCTTGGGTCTTTGTTTTGGGACAGTAGGAGATTCAACGTCTCCCTGGGAGCTCCCCGGGAGCCGTCTGATGGCGACGCGCCACAGAACAGTTCCCTGGTATAAGAGAATTTGAATGTTATTTGGACGTCCCTGTTTTTGTCTCTGAAATGGTAGAGGTTACATCTTTGTATGGGCAATACTGCATCTAGCATTCACTCCACATTTTCTCAACTGGGAGGAAAAAGTGCACCTGAAAACCATATTCAAATACCTTGGGGCAATGCCATACTGACTGCAAAGTCACCCCTGAACAGCCATAAATCTATGCAGAAGGTACCGTAAAATCCAATTATCAAAGGAAGTGAAAGCAGAATGCAATGCAGAGGGGAATTCCTGTTCTAACGTGGGTTTCGGAAAACAATGGAGGGAAAAGCCAATGCAGAATCAGCCTATGGCTTCATGGAGAAAAGAGCAGCAAGGGAACATAAATAGCTGCATCCAATTCTGTGTGTATTTCAATTATGTTATCTGCATAGTCCCTAGACTGTACCTGATGGGGATACTTACTGTTCAATTTACCACACTGCAGCTGCCAAAAAGAGGACTAACCTATACATTTGATTTTGAACTTATTCATAAGCTACCTTCCCCACCAACTGTAAGCCTTCCCTAATAGGTCTCCAGAGCATCAGGAGGAGCAGTAGCAGCAACCAGAACCTCTTCTGGTAGGATTCAGAATATTGTTAGTACTAGGATTCCTTGCTATGTATGTAGGTCGGGAAGACCATTTCAACTCATTATCATGTTACATAACCATCTTCTTCATACCACATAGCCTCCACCATTTGAGTTCAATGTTCTTGCTTGCCAGTCACTAATCTCTGCCATCTTGGGCCTTTATAATTGGATTACCCAGGTCACATGGTAAGATAAAAAAAAGTCCTCAATCCACCATAACAAAATTGGGTTATCCATGAAGAATTAAAGGGGGGAAAGGGGAGGAACAGCAAGGAGCAAGGTGAAAGGCTTTCCACCTTCTTAGCACTCTTGGACCAGCAGGCTTTCTGTGTAGAGCTCTGGGGGAGTCAGCTCTGTGGAGCACCTTCTTTATGACACGAGGGGATTCAGTGTAGAGGTTTTATTTTGGTCTCTCTCATCCTCCCAGACCAAGAAAGGGTGAGTCAACTGTGTGAAGAGCTGGAAGAAACAGAGTTAGAGGAGTCGGAGAAACCACAGGAGGAGAAGTTGGAAGGAAAGAAAGAAAGAAAGAAAGGAGGAAAAGAAAAACAAAAAGAAGGTGAGATGGGGAGTGGAGCAAGTGCTGAAGATAAGAGGTCCAAGGAACTGGAAAAGAAGCTACAAGAAGATGCAGACCAGGAGGCAAAGACAGTCAAGCTGCTACTGCTAGGTAGGTGTGCTTCAAAGGGCTAGTTACCCTTAGGGAAATACCTTTGGCTCTTGTGATGGGGAGGGGGCTGCAAGAGGATCTCCATTCATGAACAAAATGAGTGGTAAAAGATGTCTGCACTTGCATTCATTTCTTCAGGACACACACAACCCATGAAAAATCCTGAAAAGAGATCCTAACTATTCTGTACCAACAATGGATGGGATGGGCCAGTATTTAATCTCAGTAGGGTACCAGCAGTAAAAAAGGAAAGAAAACAAAAGCCCAACAACTGTGAGGTACTTTTCAGTTCTGATTTATCCATGAAGCACATGGAATGAATGGATCTATGTATTGGTATGTTGTTTTCCAAGGTGACTGTGGTGTAGGGTCAATAGACAAGAAATGGTGGTTGATATTTCTGCCAAGCAACAGACCAGTGTAGATGTAAAAAAAAATGAAAGTAAAAAATAAGCAGATTGAGCAAGGTGGTGTTTTAATCTTACACAGGACTGAACAATAATATTTTTAAAACAACTCGCTGAGGTCTCTCTTCCTAAGTAGCACCAGATGGTTTCTCATTAGCTTGATGACTTCCTAAGTCAGCCGATTAGCAAGGACACAGGCCTTTCAGCTCATTGGGTGTAACAAAAGGTCACAAACACCCTCTTCAGCAAAGCGATCTGGGGCACCATGATTGTCAAAAAAGATTAAGCATTTCCAAGAAGGGATGATGCCTGAAGGAGAATGAAGGTGTAGGTATCCCACCTGCAAAACTCTCTCTTTACCACTAAACATTTCATTTCACAAGCAAAGGTGGTGGGTTTATTGGGTTTGTTTCTTGGACAGAAAGGCAGGACTGTATTTTGAGATGGTTTCCTGTTCTGTCACATAAGAAAATAAGTTCTATATGCCCAGAATAAGGGCCTTAAGAATCCATAAATGGATCTGTTCTTTAAGCAATAACCTGACTTTTTCTACAAACCCATAGGGAGATACAGGAGACGTTTGTATGAGTGAAGTAGTTCTTCCATATCCTTGGGCCTGTTCAAAAAGGGGAGGGTATTAACTGTGATCTTTTCTTACCCCCTTTTCTTACCCCCTTGCAGGGACTGCAAAGTATGGCAAAAACTGACCATTATTTTGCAACAAAATGTTGAAATTGATAGCCTTTTCTGTCATGACATTGATGTTGCATTGAAGGTTGTTGTCCTTGGTGGAATTTTTTTTATTGTAAATGTACTGCTTGATTCCAAGTACAGTTCTTTGTATATGAACTGGGATTAGTTGAGGGTCTGGTGTTTGTCCCCTATGGGGCCTCTATACCTGATCTTTTAATCCCTACCAACTAGAACATAAGAAGAGCACTGGAAGATGTAATGGTGAAAGGCTCTATCACATTTGTATCCCACCCTTCCTTCAGGGAGTATACATGGGTCTCACCTTCTCTGCTTTATCTTCACAACTATCCTATGAGGTAGATTAGACTGAGGATGAGTGACTTGTCCAAGGTCATCCAATAAGCTTCATAACTGAATGGGTATTTGAACCTGGGTCTCTCAAATCCTAGTCTGACACACTAACCACTACCTCACATCATTAGTGTTCTGATGTACTTTTTCTGTTTCTCCAAAGCTGGTCATGAAGCTCTGCTGCTTTTATGGCCATTAGCCTCACGTATTACAAACCAGAATATGTAGCATGGTTATCAGCATGCATTCTACTGTGTATCTAACCTCAGCACATATTAAATAATTTAGCTGATACTAAACTGTGGCCACAATTTCCTTTAACTAATCTAGAAAATGAATTAGTGAGGCAAAGTTTCCACAAAGTTTCTACAAGAAGAGGGCTAGAGCAAGGAATATTTGACACACAAGCATTCTTTGTCAAGGAAAGTGGCAGAAAGTCTTCTAACCCAGACAGAGTTCAACATTCTGATGGAGACATTCCTGTAACAGATTAGTTCAGGTGCAAGTGGGTCTCAGGTCCTGGGATGCAGAAGCTAACATTAATGCATATTACAGCCCAGTGAATGCCAAAAGATAATAACAAGTCCAGAAACCCTGTTCACCCACCCTGGCTCTGTAGAAAAAACCTAAATAAAAATACTCTTGTCATTTTACATACACTAGGAAAGGATGTTGCTACTACTTCCCTTTTTGTTCAACAGCACTAAGGTTGAAGAATTGGAAACCACAATGATTCAGAGAACTGTGAGAGGCCTTTTTCGGCATGGAGACACTTTCTTATGTCATCACTTCCTCTTACAGAATAGCTTGTTGAGATAACACTTTCCCAATGAATAGTTCAAATAGCCCATAGTGTCTCTGCAGTCATGTAGCAAGTAGCATGTATTCACCTACCTCTGTACAACATGTCAAGGGTTCGTCCAGGTGACAGCAGAGGGGTTGGGATCAGGGTGATAAAGCCCTAACTCTAAGCAGCTTCCTGTTTTGGGATAAGCAGCTTTAAGTGATGAGATGAAGAAACATACCATGGATGCTGAAGAAGACTGAAGGGGAAGAAAAGAAGAAAGCAGAGTTAAGAAAGGCTGACAGATTTGAGGAGACCAAATAGCATACCTAGAATGCAAATATCTGTCGCTTTAGTGTATAAGAATGCCCATCAGCAAAGTGTGAATCGATTTGGCAATGTTGAGCATACTGTTGTATCTAAACAGACTTTTTTTTTTAAGAAGGAAACGTTTAGTGTTGCCACAACACTATATTTGAGGGCCCATATTGGTCCCAAATTGCCTCGTCTTAGTTGGTTCTCATTAAAACTGGAAGAATTGGGTATGGTTGAATTATGCTGCAAAAGCCTTAGCAACACCCAGTCTTCATACAATGGAGAACTGACCTAGACAGTTCTTATGATGGGCTGATTTTGTTCCAGTCCTATTTTAATGTTGTATTTCAGTGGGATGGCTTTGGGAATGATTGTTGTAGATTAGTGAAACTCTCTAATTCAAATGTATAATCCATACAATTTGCTAAAAGAAACAGGGTTCTTGGATCAGCTAAATTCAAGCCCAGTAGCACTTTAGAGACCAAGAAGATTTTCAAGGTATAAGCTTTCAAGAGTCAAAACTCCCTTCATCAGACAGAACTTTGATTCTCAAAAGTGTATACCTCAAAAGCTTTGTCTCTCAACCCCCAAAATCCTTTTGGTCTCTAAGGTGCAACTGTTTGTTCTACTGCAGATAGGGTTGCCAGGTCCCGCCTGGCCCCCGGCAGGGGGTGGGGGGTAGGGTTGCCAGATTCAGGTTGGAAAACTCCTGAAAATTTGGGGATGGAGCATAGAGAGGGCAGGGACCTCAATGGGGCACAATGCCACAGAGTCCATCCCCCAAAGCATCCATTTTCTCCAGAAGGAAGTGATCTTTGAAATCTGGAGAAGAGCCATAATTCCAGGGGATCCCCAGGTCCTACCTGGAGGCTGGCATCCCTAACTGCAGACCAACACAGCTACCCTCTGAAACTATCTTCCTGGATAGATCAGTTTACCTGACAGACTACGCAAAATATGTAAATTGGCCATTCCAACAAGCTATGGAAACCATTCTAGAAGTGATTCCATGGATGCAAAAGATTATGTTGGACCTCGCCCAGTGCCATGGCCCCAGTCTTCAATGAACCCCCACCATGGCTGCTTTTAGCTTTCGGAAAAGACCACGAACAGATCTGACCATGGACTGTACTCCTGCGAGCACTAAAGCCCCATCACTCTTCATGTAATTCCTGTTTACTAAAATAAAAATGGGGGAGGTCATGGCAGTGTTCCCTCTAAGCTGTGTGTGAGAGCGGCTGTTCATTAACACAGGAAGCCCCACTCAGCAGCAATCTGGAGCCACGCAGGGTCTTGCACTGCCCATTGCCCATTTTAAGGTTACACCAGTTATATTCTGCTCAGGATGTGAACTGCCTCACTCAGTGTGTGTGTGTGTGTGTGGGAAATTAGTGGAAACATTGGTCATGAGTAATGTGTACTTTCATACTGGAGAGAAGCATGCTAAGTTTTAGAGTTTAAAAATGTACAAAATTGCAGAGTGATGCTGGGTTGTCAAAGGAGTAGACATGTTTACAATTTGTAAGGGATATAGGAAAACCCCACCCTAATTGTTTGACCAAGAAAGCAGTGAACCTGTAAAACAATTAATCAAATAAATATAAACTTTAAAAAGTAAATCAAGTGTTACAAACTGGGGGGGAGAAATGGGCCCTGAACAGTGATGGCATTTAGGCATGAGACATGATTATCTCCCTTGTTTCAAGCTAATACCTGAGGAGTAACTGTATCTCTGGTTTCTCTATGGCAGGGCTCCCCAGTGCCCATGGGTGCCATGGTGCCCACCAACACCTTTCCTGGTGTCCACCAAATGCTTTTAGACAGTGGACAGGGCCAGGTGGGGCTTTTGCCCAGCAAGGCTTCTGACTGGCCACTGGAGATTTGATTGGCTGTGCCAATTTTTAAAAACACTGGTTTGGCAGCTGTTGCCACCATAGCACAAAGATCTTCACTGTGTGACTGATGGTAAGCTGTGGCAACCATTTTGTAACTGGTTCCACCTCCTGTGGCAGTTGCACCTACTATGCTATGTCAGAATCTCAAAGGCATCCACAAGCTCAAAAAGATTGGGAACCCCTGCTATATGGTATAAAAACTTAACCAACAATGTTCTTAAACGTCACTACTTTTTGAAAGGAAGGGGGAGGATTAGACTTTCAGAGTTGGCTTTTCAAACCCTCAGTGAATTTTGTCTTCTCCCCAAGCCTGAAATGATAACTATAGGGTAGTCATGTTCCTTGTCACTACAGATGACACAACAGGCACTGTCCAGTAGGTGCTCATGACTGTCCTGCAGTCATAGTTCACTTAACACTCTTAAGTGCAACTGACTTGCTATTTTCTCTGCTTTGGGGGCAACACAAGAAGATGTAGAAATGAGGTATAAACAAAGGAAGGCCATGTGGATCTAGTTAGGCCCTTTTCCCTATTGTAAAAAACCTAACAAACAAAAACAGCAAAGTCTGGGCTCTAATAACATCATTAAATCCACATCACTGAACTCTTGTCCCCTAAGCAGCTGACACAAGACACCAGAGAAAGGATCAATGTAGGAGGAAACTTGAGGAGCTTTGGAAACAAAACACCCAAGTATTAAAACAAACTGAAGGGCAAATACAGAAGGGTTTGTTATATGGAAGAGACTGTGTGGCTGCATGCTAAGCCCAGCATGGGGAGGTACAACATACTGATCTGTCCTGTATCTAGTTCTATCCCCATGGCAACATCCTTAGTAACTGGTTTGCTTCTTTTTTTGACTGTGTGTCGTACCACCTCCCACAGCAATTCCTGTTCTTCTTTCCTGTTGTGAATAGCATAGTCCATGTTCTCTTTTGCTAGCAGCCAAGCCATATGAAGAATACGGCATTTCAAACTAATTAATGTTCTCAAAGGTGGTGGCAGCACCCACAGCAGCAGTAGTAACAGTAGTTACTTTAAAACAAAAAACAAAAAAACCCTCAACCCCCCCCCCCCCCCAATTGTCTATGCTAACATGCTATGTGTGACTTTCCTGGTTTTAGCATTAGGGGTTATATTGTTTTGCTTTTTGCTGTCACTGAGCTTCTGCCTTTTCCTCTTGGTTTAATTTTTTTTTAAAACGTTTAGAATGATATGAGCTGGCTGATGAACTTTTATCTAAGGGTGAAAGATGCATTTTAAATAGATAAATGTCCTAATGTACCACCTCAGGATGTTCCAATAGTACTGAGCATTCCAACAATAACTAAAATGTATGAACTATCATCAGTGTTGTGTCAGTATGGAGACCATGGCCCTGTTTAATAGAGAACAGGTATGTCCAGCATCTTCTAGGGGACATGGCTTCATTCTCCATTTGGGGGCAGAAAGGGTTCGACATCTGAAGGAAACAGAGGCAGTACAGTTATCAGAGTTCACATGGTAATAATTCCAGATGAGCAGTTTGTTGCAGCAAAAGGAAACAGGATTTCTGTGGCACCTTAAATAACAAGTTTTTATTTTAGCATAAACTATCATAGGCAGCATCTGACAAAGTCTAGTCGGGACTAAATGCTAGGGTTGCCAGCCTTCAGGTGGGGCCTGGGGATCTCCTGGAATTACTATTGATTTCTAGCCAACAGAGCTCAGTTCCCCTGGGGGGGGAAGCTGCTTTGGAGGATGGACTCTATAGCATTATTCATTCATTCATTCATTCATTCATTCATTCAATTTATACCCCACCTTCCCTGCCAATTTATACCCTACTGAAGTCCCTCCCTTCCCCAAACCCCACCCTTCCCTGGTTCCACCTCAAAAATCTTCAGGAATTACCCAAAGCATAGTTGGCAACCCTATGTTACTGTGTGAAGCGGCACAAGAGCACTGTTCATAATTCACACACATTTGAATATTACCCACATTCTAGGCTATCCAGAAGATGCTCAGATAGAGTCTGTACTACATTTGGGCTAAGAAGAACATGAGCCAAGCTTTCATATTTTAAAAAGGTTGTAGGCCTCATAGTTAGAAAACACAGGAAGATGTGGAACTTCCTAAGTGCTCATTAAAAAGCAATGAATCCCTCCTACTCTTTGTTCTCGGCAATAGGGGAAAAAGCATTTGGTCCAATGGCCAGGAAAGGAGTATTTGTTGTAGGGACATCTATGAAACAGTGGAGCCCGGCTTGTATTGGAGGAGCATTTGTTAGTTTGAGTGTGGGATACATCCTTGCCCCCTAATACTTGCTGTTTATATTCTGGCTTATACATAGTTTTAACAAACAGCAAATAGGTGCTTCACTTGTCCCTGTTTCAACTAGGGTTGCCAACTTCCAAGCGTGGCCTGGAGATTTCCCAGAATTGCAACTGATGTCCGGACTACAGAGATCAGTTCCCCGGGAGTAAATAGCTGGAGAGAGGACTCCTATATGGCATTATATTTCACAGAGGTCTCCTCTCCCCAAACCCCACCATCCCCAGGCTCTATCTCCAATTCTTCAAGGATTTTCCTACTCAAAGTTGGCAACCCAAGTTTCAGCACATACATGCTATGAGTCCCCAACATCTGGCCTGGTCTGGTTCATGAATGAAATGTAGCAGAATAAAGTGGAAGAGAAAAAGATAACACTTCAGGGTGCAGGCAATCGATGACATTCTTCAATGTTCTGCCATAGAAAATAACTCCATGCAAGTAAAAGCTAACAAATCAGAGAGATGTGCTTACAGTGATACTTTTCCACTTGTAAGATCTTTTCCCCCCCTTACACAGGGCACTATTAACAATGCAATGTGATCTATTACCTGTGATCTGAAGCAGTATAGGCAGTTCTGTGTAGACTGGGCCCAATATATGAGAGCAACCCTTAAGAAGAATGACATAGAGAGGAAGATAATTAAACAGCAACAATGCATATTGTCATAATAGCATGTTTTGCAGCCAGCTCAAGTAACAACAGGCTTACTATAAATAAAGTCACATAGACCTAGACAGGCCTTTATCTGAGTTGCGTTCTTACCAGTGCTTGTCTCACTGGAAGTCACTTTAGTGGTAGGGCGCAGCTTTGGAACATTTAAGCACAGATAATGACAAAGAGTACTGCTAAACATGGGCAGCTGCCCTGCTCTCTCCATTAATACAGCCTCCACCTTCACCATTGTCTGAGATTGGGCATGAAGTCACGCTTGAGCCCAAGGACAGACCCATCACTGTACTTAGGACCGAGGAAAGGACCCCCCAAGATGGAGAGTGAGAGAGGATTGCAAGGTGTTTCTGTGTCTCCTGCCCCAGACCCAAGAGAATGCTCCACACCCTTTGGACCCTCACCTTGGCTGAACTACTCTTCTATCACATAACTTCTTTCCTCCACATCTCAGCCTCTATCTTCTCATCCCATCCCTTGCTTTCAGTGGTTTGAATCTGTCCTGAAATGTCCATGGATGGAAGGATTTCCCTCTGCAGAAGCAGAACTTCCTTCCTTCCACTGCAGATACAAAACACACCTGAAATGCTGCTTTGCTCCTGGAGGATGGGGGAGCCCCAGGAATACCTAGGTGGAGTCAGAGGTCTGCAGTGGGAATTGGCAGAAATGTTTGGTGGGATCCAATCCAATATGTCTGGATTATCAAATGAAAATTTGAGTTCTGTGGATGAGATTACAACCTCTAGTTTTCAGAGGGCCCATAGTATGTGACATTACCAAAGGATATTAATTTAGCATGTCTAGTAACATTTGTAGCCCCCCAAATCTCCTGTACCTTAGTTTCAATTTCACGTAATAGTCACCAAAGAAGCTAGTTCAAAAGATAGAACAGCTGCTTGTTCAGGCAGTTAACTGCCCATGCTAATGGTTTGCCTCCTTAAGGTATTTGAAGAATTGTGCATGCACATGAAAGCTTATGCCTTGCATTTTGCTCTTAAAGGTGCCACTGGACTTGAACTTTTTCCTACTCCTTAAGCACTGTAATGCCAGAGGAGGAAGCTTATGCAAGATTACTGCTCCTCCTTCATAGGAAATTCAAAGTTTGCACTATGCACATGCGCAAGCCAGTTGCAACAACAGCTCTTTACATGAGCAAACCGGGTGATAGAATATCAAAAGTGCTGTGAACCTGATAATCAGAAAGAATTCCAGAAGCAAAATAAATACAGTTGTCTAGGGAAAATGTTCCCTATCTATTTGTTAGTAAACAGTCAGCCTTCCCCCCCCTCTCAATATTCTGGCATAAATCAATTTCTTTTTATTCCTTCCAGGTGCTGGCGAGTCAGGCAAGAGTACAATTGTCAAACAGATGAAGTGAGTACCATCTTGCAGAAAAGAGACCAGAGACCCCAGAAAAATCAGCCATGTTCTTCAGCTTTTCCCCCCTCCCTCGGTGCCTGCCCTACATCCGCCCAGTGCAGCATTTCAGTGTTGCTGGCAACAGGATGTGGACCAAGGCAAATAACTTAAACAGATTATGGAAGGTTTAAAACACAAATATAAATAGCACTTAGTTAAACCAAGCTAGGAAAACAAGGAGCACCTGCTGGCTTCCATAAACTGCTTCTGAACAGGATGAGGAACAAATTCTTTTTCCATACTACAGAGTACTGTAGGCATTGACTGAACAACAGCAATTCCCCAGCATATGACTGAAATAACTCCCAGAATAAATCTGTAAGTCTAGACTGCTGACCAAGTCCAGAATGGTATCTTTCTAAGCCGTGATGCCTTGTGAAATATGTTCACCAATGAATTGTCGAAAGCATAATAAAGATGGAGACAGTACTATTACTGTAACCTTAGTGCTGTTTTCTCTGGAATGCTTGTAACTACTGCTGGATCTTCCTATGATAATTAAATTAGATTTAAAACACCAAATGATCAGCAGAAAAATGCAAGTTCTTCAGGGGGATGGGCACATCCCATTCTATCACTAACCAGTGTTGAAATGCTGCAGCAAATACACACCAGACCTTAAGTTCTAACACATTCCCAATTGTTGAGTGACTGATCAGTTTTGATTTGAAAATCTAATCTTTTCAGTTGTGATAATTTCATAGCCCAGCAGCAGAGTGTTAGGGAGAAGCAAGCTATTTGTTGCTATGAATTCATCCCAAGGGGATAAAACAAGGTGCTGGAAAAAAATGGGGGGGAGGACATTAAAAAGAGTTATCCTGGCAAGAAAACCATTATTCAAGAAAACCAATGTAGGCTGCGGTCACACGGAGCATTAGCCATGCTGCAGAGACAAAAGATAGGCGGATTTTCCGGGTGCGATCACACCGCCACATCTGGGAAGCATAGAGCTCCCGTGGCGAACCCGAGGCTTCCCACTGAAGATGCGGGGTAAAAAACGAGTACCTCCGAGGTACTAGTTTCCGGAAAGCGCAGGGCAAGGGCGGGTGTCTGATCGCGTTTCCAGTGGTAGTTCCGGCGCCCGCCCATGTCCCCTCGCAAAAAGTTTTTTCCCCCCAAGTCTCCACGGATACGCACAAGCACCCAACAGAGCATGCGCAGACTTCAGTTTTTTAAAAAAACCACACAACCCCGTTTGCCTCGCCCTCCGCTTCTTTGCCGCGCCACAGGATTGTCCTGTGATCGGCACCTCCCACTAACCACGGGACCTCCACGGGAGGTCTGTTTGCGCAACCGCACGTTATTTTGCCCGGGGGCAAACAGCCACGCTTCCCCCCCCCCGCATTTTCCTGCCCGTGTGACCACAGCCGTAGACTAGCTGAGCAGATTTGGAGCTTTTTGAGGGATGGTCATTGTCTGTAATGGAGGAAAGGTATAATTTATTCCTAACTCCCTTTCAGCCACAACATTTTGTTCTGCTTGGCAAAGGCCATTGATAGTGATATTTCACCTAAGGCTACATGCTCCCATTTTACCACAGGATTATCCATCAAGATGGTTACTCAAAAGAAGAATGTTTGGAGTTCATATCTGTCATCTATGGCAACATACTACAGTCCATCCTGGCCATCATCAGAGCCATGATCACTTTGGGGATAGATTACGGTGATTCAAGCCGAGCGGTGAGTGTTACCAACTCCAACATGTTTTTCTTAGTCCACTGGGGTACTTACAAGTGAAGGGTAAAGCATTTGTCACTCTGAAAGTAGTTTAATTCTTCTGTAGAGACAGCAAGAAATACTTGTGGCCTGATCAAACCCTGCAAATGGTAGCTGATTTTATGCCAGCAAAGGACAAGTATCTATTAAAGTTGCCTTCTTCATATACCATATTTATGAAAAATATAAACCTCTCTCATACAGTTCGAGTGTCATTGCTACCAGAAAACCTATATGCCCAAGAAATATTTCCAGAAACTAATAGTTGTAACTGAAAGGATGGAATATCCTGGCATCCAGCTAGTGTGGTTCAGGAAAGCAGTGATTGCACGGCAATGTACTGAGAACTCTTCTTAAATCTGTAGTCTGTTTTAAAACAAAAATGGTTTCAGGGTTCCTCAAGCTGAAGCAGCTATTGTACATTGCCACCTGGTGGTTAAAGAAAGTGTTTTGCGAGCATGGAGGCACAGGAGATTACTAATTAAAAAACACAATATCAGAAGAGACCTGAAGGGACACCTAGGCCATTCACAGTTGACAGAATTAGTAGCGGGAACTTAACACCCATGTAGGAAGACAAAGTGTGGAGTTAGTGTGAAGGTGCCAAGCCACCAGCAAACTATGTTTTGGGGTGCAGATATTCCTGGAAAGATTGTAGTTGATCATGCCAAGATTCTGCAAGGATGAAAGCACACAAACATGTGTCCAGTTCAAGAGAAATGTAGAAGCATACTTATGGCAAGAATTTCTAGATTCAAACCATTCCCAACAGAGGATTATTTGTGTCTACTCTCAACATCACGGAAGATTTCACAGCTGCAATGGCAAGCCAATGGAGCTTCCCCATGTCGAGCTCAGGGCTGATTTACTGCAACTTGGTCCTATTGTCCTTTCCTCAACAACTGTTCTTGCTCTTAATTTAACACAGCATTTCCTTATAACTTTTAGATATTTGATTTTCCTTATGCGTCTTTTCTGTGTGCATTGTTTTGCTTCATTTACAGTGCAATCCTTTTCTGGGAGTAAGCCTCACTGAATAGACCTGAGTAAACCTGCTTAGGATTCCTCTGTCAGTTTGCTGGTTTCCATGACTTAAAAGCTCCCGCTCTCCAAGTCAACAAGGGCGCAATGTCCCCTCTAAGCTGAGTTAGTGTGAGCTAGCTCACAGTTTTTTAGCTTCCGGCTCACTCATTTTTGTCTTAGCTCAGGAAGGAGGGCTCCAGAGCAAACTAATTTATGCAGCAGCCAAATCGCTCACTCACAACTTTAATGCCAGTAGCACAGAAAGTAGAATTTTTGTTCACAAGACTCCACAGCTTAGAGGGAACATTGCAAGGGAGGGGGGCAGAATATGAATGCCATTTTTGGGGAAAAGACAGAACTAGTCCTGGAGGCACAGAGGTTCAGTCCTTGAACCCCATTCCTCAAGTCCCCAAGGCAACATGGCTGTCTTCCATGTTTTGTCTCTTTACAGGATGATGGACGACTGCTGTTCAACTTGGCTGACTCCATTGAAGAAGGAACCATGCCTAAAGAGCTAGTGGAATGTATAAAGAGGCTCTGGAAAGATTCAGGTGTTCAGGTGTGCTTTGACCGGGCAGCGGAGTACCAGCTCAATGACTCTGCTTCATAGTAAGTCTGCCCCCTGATACTGTATTGGGGGGGGGGGATCATCATGTGAGTTAGGGAGAGACAACAATGCAAGATTAGCCACTAGGGGTTTTGATGATGGGGTTCTAGAGAGGCCATCAGCTTACTGCTTAGCAGCACAAATTTACCTCCTCTTGGTCTTCTCCCATCTTTTGAAGCACTGCCAGCCTCTGGAATGGCACATGACTAAAGACCATTTTCTCCCACCCTACGCTCCAAGACTGTGGCCCCATTTTCAAGAAGTGTGCAAACTGCTTTTGACTGGTTGACTGGAAAAGATCCAAACTACTGGTCCTGCCCACATGGTTCAATACTGTGGGATTATACCACTGGGAAGCAGCAGCCATATGTGTGAGAAAGAGAGAGGGGATTCCCCTGACTATGCTACATATTTCATATGACATACCAAGTCAAATAGCTGACCCATCTAGCTCAGTACTGTTTACTGTAACTAGCAGTGGCTCTCCAGGGTCTTAGAGACTGGCCTTTCCCAACACCTTTAGCTGGAAATGCTAGGGCCCCAACCTGGAGCCTTCTGTAATCAAAATATGATCTGTCATTGATGCTAAATACCTTGGTTGAACTGAGTGCAAAGAAGGGGGGGATGTGTCAATAGTTCTAATATATGCATAGGCTTCAGTGCTACTCTACTAGCACTCCTGATGACTCTACCATTGCATTGTCATTCCCAACTCTCAGTACAGACAGAGATGGGGTCCAATGAAAATCAGAAGTGCACCAGACCAGCAGATTTGTAGAAGTGCAGATACAGTCCAAAACATAATTACACAATCTGTGCAGAATTATTACAAGGGCCCGCAAAGAAATACTCAAAGTCTTCCAGCTGTTGAACTCCTTTAGGTTGGGGAACATTAAAGTCTGGACATCTTTCCAGAGCAGCTTTTGAACGGGCATCTTTTCACTGTTAGCAGGAACGCCATTTTAGTCTCAGTTTTAATAGATATCTTACACACCTTTTAAATTGTTGCCACCCCCAAGTGATCATGGTGGATGGCTAGGAAGTGAACTAAACTTACCGTGTGTGTGTGCTAGAAATGCCATCTCCAAGCAAAGAAGTTCTAGTTTTCAGTGCACTAAGCAAGAGAATGTAGGGGGCAGATTAACACTTTTGAATAGGAACAGAACTGAGAATCTTATGTGAGCGAACACTTTTGAATGACTTCACATCCCAGAGAACACATTGTTCTTCAATGGTTTTAGGCTGAGAAAAAGAGCAAGGCTGATGCATCTTTTTAGATTATAACAAAGAGAGATTGCTAAATCAAAACAATATCCATAAGTAATAGCTTTTCCACTGGGACTCACAGATTCTGACTACATTTGGTACTTACTGTATAATTGGTTTTAGGGTGGCCTTTTACATATTTTAAACCCTTACCAGGTCATGCTGTTTTAATTCTTGCACTTGCATCCTTACCTCATCAAACAAATATGATATAATCTGTTCTGTATACTTCTGTGCCACAAGGTCAAACTCCAGCAACATTCCTGTGGAATAGCTGTTTTGGCCTGTTGCAACCAAACCTTCTTCTGGCATTCTAAAGATAAACATATTTATTATGGCATAAGCTTTCATAAGCCAGAAACCTTTATGTCAGAAGCTCATAGTGCACCAGTTTTTTAAGGAAATCTAAAGCCCTCGTCTTCAATGCAGATTCAACAGGGCAACTAAGCCCTAGTTGGTAGCAGCATATTGTGTGCTATACTGTCATCATGCTGACACCACACTGGTGTAATTGCTACACCATGTAGAATTAGGCAGCCATTAGAGGGCATGCCATGAGGAAAGTTACCATCCTTTCCAGCTCTTGGCATACCCCCAATTCTGGCACAATGCTATGCCACTGAAAACTCTAGCATAACTCAAAGAAATCCCATAGTGACCTAGGCAAGGGAAACACTCACCAGTACTGCTTAAAATACCAGGTTCAAGATTTTGGTATTGACTTTCAAAGCCTTAAGTGGTTTGGGACCGGAGTATCTTCAGGACCGCCTCCTCTGGTATGTCCCTGGAAGAGAGTTACACTCCACTGAGAACAATCTACTGGTGATCCCTGGCCCTAAAGACATCCGGCTGTCCTCAACCAGAGCCAGGGCCTTCATGGTGGCTCTCTCTGCCAAATACCATCATGGCTCTGCAGGACTTAATGAAGTTCCGCAGGACCTGTAAGGGCTTTGGTTGAGGACAGCAATGGTTCATCATAGCCAGCACCCTCCTCTTCTTCTCCCTCTACTTTTTTCTCCATCCTCGCTTTGGCCCTCTCCTCACCTGCCTGCAAATCAGCAACACAGTCCAGAGCAGGGTAGTGAAGAAATTGTCTGATATATGTAGTCAACCTTTATTGGTTTTCGGTTTTAACTTGTTTTTAATGGTTGTACATCGCCTAGAGCCTTACATCGTAGGGAACAGGTGATTTCTAAATCAAAGTATTATTATTATTATTATT